GAGAGAGAGAGAGAGAGAGAGAGAGAGAGAGAGACCTGCAGGATGTCAGTGGCCGGGAGCACAAGGGCAGGCACTAACCTTGAAAAAAAAAGAAACGGTAATGATCTATTCGAGTATAAGAGTTTTTTCTTCTTGAAATTTAATAGAAAAAAAGGCAAGCATTGTATTCGAATACAACTCGTACGTGGTCCATTCGAAGTGCCCCTCTATCCGAGAAAAGTGGACCCATACCATTTCGATTTCAATATGTTCAACTCAAGGACCGCGCCCTCCTCGGCCTCCAACGGGCAGCTACTGATCCTCCGCAAGCAACAACTGCCGGTTCCCCATGAATTGCTCCCCCAGCAAATTCAACACCTTTCCAACTACCATTTGGACCCGAACGGGCGACCGGTACGACCAAATGATGAAATTTGACTTAGGGGTATAAAAGGCACCCTGATGGGCTGCAAACAGGTGCAGGACGGGTGTTGGTCACGGTCATGGAAAAAAAATGAAATGGCGCGCGGCCCCCTAAGGGCTGGGACTCGAGAGTTAGTCCACTTGAATAGAAGGGCACTTCGAATAGAACACATGCGTTGTATTCCTTTTTTTTGTTTTAAATTGCTCCGGTTTATTGGTGGGGAGCCGCACCTGCTGGAAACCGGGTCCAGCGTCCCATTATACATCCAGAGTGTCACATCAATTGTCTGCCTGCTAGCATTGATTGCCCTGCCTTGCAGGGGATTAACTGAGCAGGATATGGTTTGTAAGAGAAAGACTGAGAAAGACTGAGAAGAAAGGACGACTGTTCGTCCTGCTGCAGGGCGCCTAACCGTCCCAGATCTCCTGGCCTCCGACTTCCCTTTGAACGCAGCATTCTAGAGTCTGAGAGGTCTGAGATTTGTCTCTGTTGCTAAGAGGCGATCAGCCAGCCCTCCTGGGGGCCACCGGGACATGCTGTGCTGTCACACAATGGCTTCCACCAGGGCAAGGGGGTGGGGAGGGAAGGGATTCGGGAAATCAGATGGGGGTCTCATCAGGAAGGACAGGTCAATGTTAGTCCAGTCGTTAAAAGTTAGTCTGTAGTCTCTCACAAGTCCTTGCCCCGATGCCGTAGCCTGGTCCCCTGCCCATTCGACCCGAGCAATCCAACCCCCCGGCTGTCCACCCAGCAATTCCATGCAAAACACCGCAATCGCCCTCTTGAGATCCTGAGCCGTTTGAAAGATGTCTAGCTGAGGCTTGAGGTCCTGTCAGTCCCAATTGCATGAGCTCCTTTATTTGCCGAGTCAGTTCGTGACCCTCTATTCTTACCCCTTCTAGAACAAGGAGACACCGCTGCCACCAGAGGGCCCACAAAACCAACCGTCTACCAAGACTGAACAGATTGCTCGTAAAGGGGGGTGCATTCCCTATTGCTGGGCAGTGTCCTGCCAGGATAGCCTGTCAGGACCACAGCCAGGAAACATCTAGTACTGCTCTTCGCCAGATGCGATCCCACCAGCGCCATGTCAATATTGCCACTGGGCACTGCATAAATATATGTTCAAACGGTCTCGCTTCGCTTTTGCGTCGAGAAGGCGTCAGACACCTTTGGCATCACGGTAGCGCTTTCCCTTTCTGTTCCAGGTGGGTATGGTTGATCAACCAGGCGTTAGTCTGAAGGCAGCGGTGGGCAATCTGCCATTGCAAGGATGTGATTTTTGTCGGCCTGTGAGGAGGGATCGGTCCACGTTCAGGTGCCGGGCCCATCTGTCATTGATTTGATCCCGCAACACCCACTTAGGACGAAGCATTTTGTAAGTGGATCTGACGAAAAGGGTGTGCAACTGTTTTTTTTTGCTGGGCGCTGTTGCCGTTCTGTGGGTCGTTTGCCACTGCCATTCTTGGGGATCTATTGCCAGCTCGTGTATGGCCGTTTGAGGTTGAAAGATTGTGGGACCCTTTTTGTCATCCAATACCCGCACCTGAAACACCTCTGCCTTGTCCCTCCATTCGAAATTATTGCACGAGCCTTGGAGGCTGCCCCTTGGCCCAATTGTCTAAGATTCCACTAGCACATGAGAAGTCCGCACCCTCTGAATTCTTCCTATCCGTTCCGCCTGTCCTTTCGGAGCCACCCAGTCCCCCCCCTCCAGGGTAGGCCCGCGCGTGAGAAGTCTGTATCAAGCTAGGGGGATTGCTTCGTTTATCATTTTCGTGTGTGTCTCCATACGGTGGCAGTATACAGGCATACGTTTTCTATTCGAATTTCAAAAAGAAGAAACTCCGGTATGCGAATAAAACATTGCCCTTCTGTTTTTTCAACGTTAGTGCCTGCCCTTGTGCTCCCGGTCGCTGACACACTGCATGTTGCAGGGCTCTCTCTCTCTCTCTCTGTGTTGCAGGGCTCTCTCTCTCTCTCTCTCTCTCTCTCTCTCTCTCTCTC